AATCAGCAGGGTTCCCATGCTTTTGGAAGGATATTCGTTGAGCTGCTGGCAGACCACGAGCATTATCCTCCTCTCCACCTTTTCCATCTTTTTCTATCTCATTTTTGCCCACCCTCCTCTCCTGTTTTCTTCCCCCCACTAACACCCCATCATCCCCCCCCCAACTACCACTTCAAAATCTCTCTATTTCTCACCTCTCTCTCTTTTTCGATCACTTTCTCATCCCTCCCTCCACCAACTTCGAGTTTTTTTTCTTTTTCTTATTTTGTGTTCCTCTAGGCTACCAGAGTGGCCCGGGGTCACTTGCCCAGCCGGGCCAAAAAACAATTAAAAAAATAAAAAATATATACATTCATTCTAAATTTGGTGAAGATTTTTTTTTTTTTTTTTTTTCGGGATCCGGGTCCGGCGTCCGTTATATTTCAGTGCCAGGAAACGGGCCTGGCGTCCCTTACAAAAAACTCCACAGTCCTAATGGGCGAGACATCATCAGTCTAGCCCTGAAACTGGACCACAACATGCGTCAAACCCAATGCACCAAAGGAAACAACAAAGAAAGCAAGTCAGAAGAGCAAATCAACTAGTGTCTCTCTCTCTCTCTCTCTCTCTCACACACACACACACACACACACACACATTTCATTATACAAGCCGGGAAAAGAGTCCGGCATCCCTCACACAGATAGACAACGGAGCCCAAAAGAGTTTAATGGAGTCTAAAGGAAGAAAGAAGAGAATTTCAACTCGGGAGTGCGGCCAGGGTCGGCTGACATTGCTACCAGACCCGTGAACCGGGCCTAGTGGGTATGGAAGTTTTTTAGAGCCTTCGCCGAGAAGGCCTTATTTACCACTTTGAGTGACCAATCTATAGAAAGCATCTGTTTAATCGAGTACTTGGTTTGAGCACGGACCATCGGGGGTGTGAATTTTTCCCCTCCGCGCACTGCCGAGTTCCTGAGAGTCCACAGAGTCCACAGCACAGCTCCACGAAGCTCTGTGACCCTGAGGCAAAAGTTTTTTTTTTTTTTTTGGACCTTCCCTTGTCCTTGCACGGGCTGGCCACCCGGGACCCAGGCGGCCCGGCTGGTAGCCTAGGTTCCTCTTTGATTTCTTTTTCTTTTTTGGAAATTCAAATTATCTTATTACCTCCTCCTTTTTCATTTTCTTGTTATTTGAAAATTCGAATTTCTCTGCGGCACCCTCAAATTTTCTTAGGACTTAGCTAGTTTTGTTGTCAGCGCACATTTTGAACCCTTGGGGGTAACGAAGTGCCTCCAAAATTCTCTTCCTCAGTTTCTTTTTCCAGCACATTGTGAGCCCTTGGGGATAACGAAGCGGTGGCGAAATTTCCTCTTTTTACGTAGTCATTTTTTTTGTTGCACAGTTCGTTACCCTTATTTCGACCCCATGGGGGTAATGAAATGTTGCCAAAAGTTTTTGAAAAATCCAAAACTTAGTTTTCTCTCTACTCTGTCCTCTGGGACATCCGTTAACATTGGAACGATACAGAGAAGATTAGCATGGCCCCTGCGCAAGGATGACATGCATAAATCGAGAAATGGTCCAAAAAAAAAAAAAAAAAAAAAGCTTTCTCTCTACTCTGCTCGACCTACTCATTTGTTTATTTATTTTTCTGATTTATATTTTTTTTGCGGTATTTTGGAAGTTAGTGTGCTTTCTTGGTTTTTTCTGCACTCTTGGCACATCTTGACCCCATGGGGGGGGGGGGATGTTGCCTAAAATTCCAAAAAAAATAATATTCTTTCCCTCTTCACCCTTCGATTATTTCTTTATTTATCTATTTTATTATTTATTTTATCTGATTCCAAAAAAAATAATATTCTTTCCCCCCTTCCCTCCATGGTGGTTATTTTCGTTTTTTTATTAGGTTGCTGCTGCTCCACCCTGGACCCAAATGGATCCTCTTGCCTCGACCGGCACCATGCCACCTTCTCGCGYGACCCACCGGTTCCACACCGAGCCGACTCACACCTATAACCTCCGCTCCGCCCCTACCTTCACCCTTAGCGGTGGGCCCCTTTCCCCACACAGCAGCCCACCTTCTTCTCAATCTCCCACCATGTCTACCTCTCTTCCCCCTCCCCCCACGGAGGGGAGTACACGTGCGTTATGCGCCGCACGTGCGGAGCTCGTGCGCACGCGATACGCCGCAGGTATGGGTTGGAGTATAGGGGTGATATAGGGGATATTGGGGTTGTTAAATGGATCCTCTTGCCTCGACCGGCACCATGCCACCTTCTCGCGTGACCCACCGGTTCCACACCGAGCCGACTCACACCTATAACCTCCGCTCCGCCCCTACCTTCACCCTTAGCGGTGGGCCCCTTTCCCCACACAGCAGCCCACCTTCTTCTCAATCTCCCACCATGTCTACCTCTCTTCCCCCTCCCCCCACGGAGGGGAGTACATTCGAGGAGAACCCAGCGGCAGGGGCCACTTCTTAGGTGACCGTTCACCCGGCGCTCCAGGGTCAGGCCCCTGTGGACCCCATGGAACTTCGCACACCTAAAGGAGAAAGCTTCAACTTACCTCTGGACTAGAGACACACTCCATAACCAAGGTGGCTTGGCACTACGTCACCAGGAAAAAGAGCCAAGGAGGGCTAGGAGTCCTAGACCCTACTACCCAAATAAAAGCCCTTCAGACCAAATGGATCTTAAAACTCATCACAAGACCTAGCCTACCCTGGAGAACCTTAGCCTTGGATGGTTTACAACAACTACCAATATACAACACCCCAGATAGCATGGAACGTTCGTTCTAGATGATGAGCAAGTCATGGCCAATGAAAGGAGGAAACCAAGAAACATTGTCTTCAAAAAACGAATCCAGGTTGGGATTCTGGAAAGGGGTCCTCAATGCATGGAGAGGTATCTTTTTAGCTAAGGTTAGGATACCACACAATAAAGAAGAAAGACGAGAAGAAATACTTAGACAACCCCTTTTCCGCATCCTTGGATAGCAAAAGGTGACGGAAGCCCAAAGACACAAGATGGGGAGCTTGTCTAGAAAGAGGAATATGGCAAATCAAGCACATATGGGACAACAATTTGAAAGACTGGAAGTAGGATAAACAGCTAAGACAACAACTTAAAGGTTACCATCGATTGGCTTAAAACCTGCAAGAACTCGTATCAGCTATCCCACACGAACGGGTACCAACTCGCAAAAGGATAGGAAATGGGATAGAGAGGGCTGGGCGGTAATGACAAACGAGCTTTCACACAAACACGCACTACCTTACTGGGGTAGAGATGAGGGCAAAGATAACTGGCACATGTTCACTATGCATGAAATGAAGGAACCAGGATCTGATTATAGCCAACTCTGCAAAAAACCCACAGCACAAGTAACAGTTTGAGAAGCCAATCTAAGGAAAATAATAGTAGAGAACGAGGAACTAACCATCTTGCTCCCCCAAACCACCCTAGAGAACCTGGACGTGGACCCAGCTGAATGGGCATTGAACAAGGATCATCACAGATTAACTCCAAGTTCAACATCCTACTCTACACAACCAGATTAGGCTGTAGACTCAGGCGCCACCCCACAAACCCGGACCCAGTAAATAGCAGAATGTTGGAAGAGACACCTTGAAGTAGAACCGGAAACTTGCAACCCAATAACATGGAGTCTAATAGCGACCACACATCCACCTAAATTTAGAAGCCTACAATGGCCAATTCTATACCTACCAGTCCCACTAAATCAATGGCTAAACGTCAAAAGGAAAAAGGATGATAGAAGCCCCCTAAAAGAACTGTGCGGTAATTGTGACGAAGGTCAAATAGAAAACCTATACCATTGTTTTCTCCTGTGGCCCAGAATGTGGCAGCAGGTTGCAAGTACATGGGAGCAGTCACAGGCACGATATTCACAAGCAACCATACCTTCCTACTCTTAGGATTCACATCCCGGAAGACTGGTTCGCAGTTGAATCAAACCTCTTCAGAATACGTAGAAATTTAGAAAAGCAATACTATGGGTGATTTGGAAGGAAATACGCCAAGAAACAATACAGAGACAAAAGATGCACACCCAAGAGGCGTGGGGATTACTTCAACAGCAAGTGGAAATTGAATATTGGGTCCTATGCCGCAGAGTAAAGAGGAGAATGAGGGAAGACAAGGACAAAGCCAAGGAGCATGTCCTAGCGAAAGGCAAGGTCGCGCTCATCAAGGGCCCAAGCATAGTATTCAGACTCTGGGAAGAAGCCCCACCAGAACACCAATCGCAAGCCCTCTCAACAAATAGTATCCCAGAGCCCCTCGGGGTTAATATGTGCTCAGACTAGACCAATAGAGACCCCTCACAGAAATAACTAGAACAATCCGATCTATAAGACAGGATCTCCTAAAAGGATACAAAGAGTGAGCAAAACCAGACCGGGGACAGCTAGGGTTAAGGTATTAGCTAGGACAACAGTAACAATCTACAATAAGGGGAAGGAAAACCAGTTAGGGTTTAGGGCTTTAGCAAAGTTCACAGCAACCAAATCCGACAAGGCGCAGAGTTTTAACAAAGGCCTAGGCAAGAGGCCTAACCAGCAGTTCTAGCGAATATGCAAAATTTGACAGCCTTGGAGCTGAGAGGAACTAGCTGGTTGAGGCCCAAGGAGGCAAACTGCAAATACGAAAGTGATAAGGCAAACAGACTAGCAACCAGGGGCAGAATCAAAGTAGAGCAGGCCAACTTAGGCAGGGGTGAAGGGTGGTACATCCTTCCTTCGGTAAGTAATCAATGTCGTCCTTTGGGCCTTCACACCATAAGGGGGACGAGCGTGTGTGAGTACTTGTTGTAATCCATTCTGACTTGCCGGGGGAATAGGAACCAGACTGATGCTCCCCGGAATGGAAAAGGAGCCGGAACCCTAAGGTTCTTTTTTTTATTTTTTTTTTATTTTTATTGGTAGCACTATTAGCACACCAATTCCTGGAAAAACAGGATGCATCCTCAATTCAGAATGCATGAAGCCTTACCACACTTTGTGATTTCATCTCAAGGCATCTGAATGTGTACTTTGCTTCACTTGTACTGATGTCAACGAGAACCATTGTCTCATCCCCTTGCGCCGAACCCACGAAGGACACTGCAGCTGTGTTGAAACGTGGGCACTTCAGTAACTTCGATGTATCTGTAATATTCACAGAAAGCTGCCCTTCTGATGACACTGGTGATGATGGCGACGTTGATGGCAAAGATGACGATGATGACAATGGACATGATGACGACGGTGATAATAATAATGGTGACGATGATGACAAGAACGACGATGATGATGATGGTGACGACCTTCCTCCTGCTTGAACGTTCCTGTCACAGTCACTACCTCCCAAGGCCTTGGATTTCTGTCTGATCACTGGGCAAATCGGCGTGTGGCTCAAATTCCCAGAATTGTCCCCATCTGGCAAAATCCATCTGCCATCAACAATGACATCTTCTTGGATCCAGGGAAAGGTTCCTAGACCATGAGCCATTCTGCTGCTGCCAGTGAGATCTTCCTCCTCATTCTTGTCGCTGGATAACATTCCCTGAGAGTTGATGGCGTATGCCATCTCTGCATACATAGACAATGCTATGGATGATTCAAAAGCTGAGCTGATGACAGGATGTACTCCTTGCTTAGCTGCCCATCGTGCAATTTGCAGAGTTCGCTCCAGCCCACCAATGACCCCAGGTTTGAGGACCTGCAGCAGAAAACAAACGGATTCATACCTTAGACCTTGTGGTCATAATCAACCCCTGGCATGCTAAGTCCAAGAATCACTAAAGGGGGATAGATGCTGTGCAAACACAGTGGAGAACTGAATCAGACAAAGATCCCAATAATCACATAACGGGGATGGAATCCAACATAGAAGATGACTTGCCGCTCAACCATACATGGCTGCATGGCACAGATCCACAACCAACAATGATCAGACCCTGAATTTCAGACATGTTCAATGCAGTTGGACACAACAGTGCTAACCACAACCTCTCTCAAAACAAATTAAGTTGAAGAAGGCAAAAAGAAGCCCTTCTGTGCACTGGGCTCAGTGGGTGCTTAACTTCACACACACACACACACACACACACACACACACACACACACACACACACACACACACACACACACACACACAGAGAGAGAGAGAGAGAGAGANAGAGAGAGAGAGAGAGAGAGAGAGAGAGAGAGAGAGAGAGAGAGAGAGAGAGAGAGAGAGAGAGAGAGAGGAGATATGCAAAAGAATGACAACATATGCCAAGACAGGGTGATAAAAGGTGGGATGTGTAAGTTAGCATAATTTGGAATGGTTTAGTGCAAGAGGAAACCGACCCCCAACGGGGTTACTGGATTAAAAAGTGATTCTGTGAAGTTCCACAATGGAAGGATGACCCAACAGACTCACAGAAATAGAGAGGCTACCAACTTTCCAGATGTTAGCTAAGCCCAGCGAACTTAGCCATTACAGATACAGGGGAAATGGAATGCGGGAGAGACCATCAGGGTAGAGTGGGAATAATGGAGTTTCGGGGAAGAATTCAGAGCTTCTGGAAGCAGCGGTGAGCAGAGGTAAATCTTTCCACGAGGGGAAGCAGCCACTGTATCGGGATCTCTCAGCCATAACAAAGAGAAGTGTTGCGTGGGTAACTGATGTAAGGGACGCTGAACCCATTTGAAAGTCAGCCTTGACGGCCTTCAAACGTTCGATTTCATGTTCACATCTGCAAATGAGAATTTGGAACCCAGAAACTTTGCTCCCGTTCATTGTGGTTGACCTAGGGTCCACAGGAGACTACTATGGGACCTCCGAAACCAATCCCGAAGCGTTCTTTTTCAGCTATAAATTGAAGCTCCCTTGGAAAAAAAAAAAAAAAAATGAAGGCAGAGGTGGGTCAACAGAAAAAGGGGTTCTTCCGGCAAAATTTTGAAAATATTTGGGTATATGAGGGTAGAATTGCAGAACTCAAAGGAAGCACCCTTCTCTTTCATAATTGGAGTGTAGAGATTTCTGGAACCATAGTAGATGAGCAGCAAGAAGAGATGGGGTATCTAGATGGGGAAGCCAGCTCATAGACATTGGAGTCGTGAGGGTAGAGGACGATTGGCTAAAAGACGGAGAACAGAAAAGGTTAGGATATGCCGAGTTACTATGGAAAACGAAGCAGGGTAAGAGCATGAGTAGGAGAAGGTATTGGGCTAAGGCCCGATACAAGCAGTAAAGACAGAGTAGATTACGGACTGGACCAAGACTAAGATAGAAAAAAAGATTGCCCGAGGTTGCCCGTCCATACGTAGAAAACTGCTCAGATCATGCATCCAGCTTGGTGATCAGTGGCTGGTGGACGCTTCACAAAAACCTTGGACATGACATCACACGAGAGGCACTGGACCTCATGAGTTGAAAGAGGAGTGTGGCAGATTAAACACATCTGGTGCGAAGAAGACAGGCGCTGGAAAACAGATCAGGAACTTTGGGACCAGTTTAAAGGATGCCACAACCTTCAGCAGAACCTCAATGTTCTTCTCCCGTCCATCCCAGCAACCTGGACTGTACTGTTAGCAACTCCGCCTACATGGTGCTCTGGAGAGTGGACTACTTGGGATTGGGAGGATCCTCCTACGGTTGCCTTGGCCTTTCAAAAGGATAGGCCCCGCAGGGCAATGGGGCCAATGAACTTGCATGACATTGAGGAGGTTGGCCTCACGGTCAGCAGGGTAAGCAGAACGGCTCACACACAGGCAGCAGTCGGACTCCGCAGCGTTCAGAAGGTGAGGGTGGTCGAAGATGAGGAGTGCAGGATATTTGAGCCGACCACGCCATTGCAGAACTTAGAATTTGAGCCAGCAGATTGGGTGCGGAAACTTCCGACCCCGGCAGGCTGTGTGGATCGCCGAGTAAGCATTCTGGATTATACCACACATTTGGGCTACAGGCTGCACAGACGGTCTGCAAACACCCAGCATACTCTGCTGCAATGCTGGGAGCGGATTATGCCCAGTCAAATGTCAGGCATGGTTAAGATGCCCTGGGCCTCTGTATCGCAATCCGAAACACGAGGATTGTTGGCCTATCTGGCACTACCTACCCAATGGTTGGCTAAAAGAAGAGCACACTCCGACAGAACTGACTTCGACAAATGATGTGCAATCTGTGACACGTGAACAGTGGAGGACGTGGTACACTGTATGTTGCCATGTCCGAAGGCCCAACAGGTGTGTGGCCGCGTCAAGAACCTATGGATCAGGAGAACAGGGCAAGCACTGCCGGTGGACCAGCTGGGCCTGCTGGTAGGACTTGTTTGGCTGGCGACACGGGAAAAGTGGATCCTTAAACTTTACAGAAGGCTGCCCCCGCTGGCATTGTGGGTCGTGTGGAAAAGAAGGTGTAAGGAGACAATCGACAAGCAGGAAGTACCATTGGAACTGGTCTGGGAAGACTTCAAGCAAGCATTAGACACTGAGTACCAGGCGGACTGGCATAAGGTGCAGTTGATAATCAAGCAAGAACCCAAGAAGCGGGCATGAGACACTCTCCAAATTTACGCAAGGATCCTTGGGGGACGACAAGCTGGGATCCATACAGGGTGACTTGCTAGCATGCGTGTGGTACGCAGGTGTACGAGCATCACAGGCCTCGGCTTCGTCAGGGGAGGTCCGGTTGGGGCACAGTGGGCCCTCCTCCCGGGAGGCTGACCTGGCAGCAGAAAGTCTTTGGAAGGGATCACAGGGACCCGTATCGTTCCCTGGCGTCTAGTGGAGAGCCCGTCCCCGCCGTCTGGCGGCATAAAAGGGGTATCTTAGAAGACTGGGCACCGCTCTCCCCGGGGTCTCCCAGGGAACCACCGTGTATATGTGATAGACCGGAGTTCATGAAAGTGAGGCCCAGCAGGTTCCACATTTACCAGACTAGCACACCCTTGAGGGTTGGGGTTGACTGGTGAGCTTAAAGCTCAACACTCATGTTGTCTGTAGGAGATTAGCAGTGGCCCTAGCAGGATTTAGGGTTTTAGTCATCTGTTGATTTCAGTTCTATACAATGAGGGTAACTTAGGCAGGATCGAGGGGTGGTACCGTGAGGGTAACTTTGGCAGGGGACAGCGGTGGTACATCCTTCCTCTGGGAAGCAATCAATGCTGTCTTCTCGGGCCTCCCAGCCATGATGGGGAGGAGTGCGAGTGAGTACAATCTTGTATGTTCCTTTGACTTGCCGGGGGAATAGGAACCGGACTGATGCTCCCCAGAGTGGAACGGAGAGGAAACTGTAAGGTTTCGTTTCTGGGG